AATCGTTTATTAATTGTCGCGGAATAGTCGGAAGGACGTTTGTTCGGAGATAGAGGGGAATCCCGTCGATCGAGTGGTCGCCTGTGCCTCGTTCCGTCGATGGAACACGAGTGCTGAAACGAAACTGATCGATCCAAGGTATCTGATCCACTCGTTTATAGCCGTGATACGTCATTAATTGGAACGCAGTAGCGTATAACTCGAACGTGTCTTCTCGTCGATCTGACGTCTTAAATAACGGATACGGCTATATGTATCAATCGGACGAGTCATTCGACGTGCAAGCAATCCGACGGTGGACCAACGAATATTAGTTTTCCCTCTGTGTCTTTGTGTCTCGCACAACTAAATTTTATCAACGGATTACCCGACATTCCACCGATATTAAATTCACTCTTTCGCCCACTTTTTTTTCTTTTTTTTCTTCTTCCCTCGGCCGCCCTTATATTTTACGATACGGCCTTCGCGCACGTCTGGTACGTTTTTGCTTTAGCAAAATATACGACGATTTTCGTCTCGAAATTCTCCCATTCGATTTCCACGGTATTGTAAAGCATCGCGCGACAAGCCAGAAGAGAGAGAGAGAGAGAGAGAGAGAGAGAGAGAATCTCTTGCCGTCGTTCCTCCCAGCTGTATTCAGCGTTCACCGATGTAACTGGCGGACTAAGGTGGATAATGCCCAGCCGGGTAGCAGATTCGCTGAAGGAGAATTTCCCTTGCCTTGCCTTCGTTGGTGCCGTGGGTATATCCACGGGAAAACTTTATTGTTGGCATATTTTCAAAAATTCACGATCGTCTCTAAGCCGTCGTTCCGCGGGCACTAAACGTTCCGCAAACGGCCACCGCGAATGTAATTTCTACTCGGCTTTAGCCGCGTTTTATCCGAGCCCGCCGAAACCTGAGGATATTTCACGGTTTCCGCGGGACGATCGAAACGGCACGTCGGAACGTTTATCGCGCGTTCTCCACCAAGTTTCCACCGCCCGGGGTGAACGCGCACCAGCACGCCCGACGTACTCGCGTCCGCTTCTAGTCGTTATCGTAACGTTCCCTTCTTGGGGAATCGTCGAAAATATTTCGACACCATTCTCTTTCCATTCCCCTTCGTTCGTATTCGCAGGCTTCTTCCCTACGTCAAGTCGGCCACCAGTTTTACGAGTTTCATTCGTTCACCTTTTTTTTCACTCGATCGAACAAATTTCGTATTTTTTTTTTTTTTTTTTTTTTTTTCTTTGAATTACCCTTTTTGCGCATACAGACTCGAAGCAGAGGATATTTCGAATCACTTTTTTACTTTAATTTGATAATTTCGTTGAATCGTTATTGGTTTGGAAGTTGCTCGAAAATTTCAGCCTCTTTCGCTTTCGCTCTTTACGCATTCACACGCATTTTCGCAGAGTTTTCGTGTCTTTTGACGGTTCGAGCGCACGATTGTCGAGATAAACGAGAAGCCATCTGACCAGGTTCTAATGATAGCGGCGTCTTCGCGGGCCTGAATCATTCATCAATCCCCGGCGTGCGTCAGAGAACGTTTGCCGGGACTCGTGACTTGTTTATGACGGCGGCCCTCGGTGCAGTTTCATTTCAGCTTCGCGCCTCATATGGACAGAGCAAATAACTTTTCTCGATAGTCGGAGTTGGCGCTCGGTTTCTCGAAGGAGGGTAAACAGGGCGCGCCGGAGGCGTGGGAGAAAAAGAGGAGGAGACGGCGTTCTCTCTCTCTCTCTCTCTCTCTCTCTCGTCATCTCGTCGTCGACGAAACCATCGCGTAACGGAGAAACGGAGAGGAAACAGCAGCAACAGCAGCGTCGGGTGGAAATTCATTCGTAATTCATGAGTATCGGGCCGACGTCCCCGTCAAAACTTTGGATATTCGTCCGTCAAACGTTTCTCCCGTCAACTTTCCGAGTGTCTAAAGCCACCTATCCCCCTGGTCCTCGTCCAGCTGACGGCTCTTCCCGGAGAAAATGATAACCTTGTTTTCGACCACTTTGCGCCCGCCTAGTCTCCACGTACGAGTTTCACCAACTACCCTCGACACCTATCCTCTTCGGGCATCTCTCTTTCTCTCTATTTATCTATCTATCTGTCTATCCTTCGTCGTCTTCTCCTTCTTTCCACTCGTACATGCCCGACGTAATCGTGTTACATTCACCATTTTCTTCCCGTCTATCGCTCCACGTTTCTATCTTTTCCACTTTCCCCCCGCTCTCTCTCTCTCTCTCTCTCTCTCTCTCTCTCTCTCACACACACACAGAGACGAAACGCGTCAGGATAACATCAAAATAGCTGTACGTGACCGCTAATCGGCGACAGTTCGAGGATCACGCAGCCACCGCCATATTCCCGTCAATTTATTGGCCACTCGACCCGTCGATCTGGATTAAATCGTATATTTCTCTCTCTCGCTTTCTCTTTCTTTCTCTCTCGCTCTCTGTGCCCTTGGCTGCATCGATCAATCGAGAAGCTCTCTCGAAGCGCGTCGAGGGCAACGAAATATTACACAGTCGAGAATATTCGTGTCTTAAATAACAATCGGCGCGTGGGGTAGGTAGGGGGGCGAGGAGGAGTTTGAAACGACGACGACGGTTTAGCCCCGGAGCTTCTATCCGAGAGACGGGCAACAGTAAAACACTCGGTTTCGTTTCTCCCCGACGAGGGAATTCGAAGAGAAAGGCGGAGGAAATGTGCGCGTTTGTGCACACGCTGGAACGAGAAACAACAGATAGGTGTTCTCTCGTTGGCGGACGAGCCGAACGAAGCTGCCCAAGGCAGTCGTCGTTGTCTGCTCGGCCGCGCTCTGTACTTACCGCGAAATGAATCAAGTCTCTGCTTCCAAGCAGCGGGCAGGTGCTTATTACTCACTCGTAGGGGCCACAGCACAGCCCTCTTTCCCTCTTACCTCTGTACCAGCGCAGAGTCTCTCTCTCTCTCTCTCTCTTTCTCTTCTTATTCTTCCAGTAGTAGTATCGCTACGACTCTGCTCTCGCTAATATTTCTCTTCCTTGTCTTCCTCTTTCTTTCTTTCTTTCTTTCGCGTATATCGTTTGTGCGGAAACCTCCCTCCGGCCTCGCTTCGAAACTCCTCCCTTTATCGTTCGCGCCTTCTCTCGAGAAGGGAACGAGAGGAGAGTCTAGATCCGCGCGGCGATCCGCGCGATTATCGCGCGCGAGAATAATGTTCTCAGCTTTAGTTGCCGCGGAAATCCACCGGTGTCCTCCGGTTCCGTGTTTCCGCCGATAGTTCAACATCCCCTAGAACACGGCTAACCCTCGTATGCCTGTTATTATTGTCGATTCTCAGGCAAAAGATCTCAGCCTCCGACTGGAAGATTTCTGACTGGCCAGTCCACGGAGAAGTATCTCTCTGCAATTCCGTGACAGTAGTTTTACGTTTCTACGCGCGCTTAGAAACAGAAAACGTGCAGGAGCGTAGATCTGTAGATACCCAATCTCCCTCCCATTTTTAAATCGACAAATCGTGTGTGCAAGCGCGCGTGAAATTTCGCGGACATAGAGAGTTTGTGTCGTTCGCGAGAGTGGAGGTGGAGGGACGAGGCGATGGGAGACGAGGAGAACGGAACGAGGAGGCAGAGATGAGGGACGCGTGTCCTAATGGCGGTCATCTCAAACGCCCTAAGGCGGCTATTGTCTCGGTTTATGCCTTCGTTGCGCATACCGGCCCGTACACAGGCCGGAAGACCTACGACACGACCGCCTTCCGTTCTCAAAGGGCGATCTGACGTTCAAGGGACGCGTACACACAAACACACGTACATATAAACTCGTTCAACTTCGACTCGTTGAACAAGCCTCACCGTTAGCCTTCTGTGCACTCCCTTCAAGGCACTGGCCTTCGTTAGCTTAATGCCCGGTGATAATCATCGGCCGGTTTGCAACATTTCGAAGGCTTCGCGAACGCTCCAACTGCCGCGTAATCCGACGTCATTGCGGACGTCGTATCATATCGTCTCGCGATTCTCAGGCGAGATCGCGCCTCCTTGCGAGTCATGAATGCGGCAGGCGCGTTCTCGTGCTCGCGGACATTGTTGCGCGGCAGACAATGCAGCCACGATGATGGAGATAACAATGTGACGGCGGAACGTAACCGTCGATACCGGAGCCTGTAATTTTGTTAATTGCGCGTGGCAGACGAGCGAGGGGAGGATATTCAATTCATGGGTGGGTCGCGTCGCCAGCAGTTCGCGGAAGGATAAGCGGAACGACGGGAAATTCTTAATTAAACAGCCGAACGCCAGCGAGAGTGTCGCGAGATCGTAACGTAATTTTTTCACTCATCCTTCCGACGCGTTCCCGATCGCTCTGTGTGTTTTTCAATGTGCACGTTCGCGCAAGTAAACAAATGTATATCCTTCTTCCCTCGTCGTTTGACGCACTTGAATCCGTACAATTTTTGTTATTTCACGATCTTCGAAATCTTTGTCTCATATCGATTTTCTGATTAATTTCTCTTTTATAATTTTACTTTATAATTTTCTTGTCACGTACGACAATATATAAAATTCACAGGTTTCAGGAAACGACGATTCGAATGTTGCATAAAGTCGAGACAGAAAGTAACAAATAACATAATTCACTCGCGCACCCGTTACACCTCCTTGTCCAAAAGATTTTGAAATCTTTTCGTACGTAATAATGATAATAATAATAATAGCAACGTCGTCGTAGATATAATTGCGAGACATTAGGATGAGATATTGGACTGGGAGAGAAGAGGGTGCACGTACAAGGGCCGAATCCGCCCCGGGGCGACGATTTCGATCTCTCGAACTATCATCCGTGGCGCAGCTATATAACGTGCTGGTTTGTGCACGGTATCACGCGTTACCTGCTCGGGGTGCACTCCAACATCGGCGATGTAGTCGCGCGTAATAATCGCGAACGGTTCGTTCCGTGGATCAGATTAGGAGAGAAAGAGAAAGAGAAAGAGAGAGAGAGACTCTGTAGGTCTCTCTGAGACTGTGTTAGATCCCGGCGAGTGCGGTAGGCCGAGATTTTATCACGTCGCGACGGTAGAAGAGGAAGTCAGTCCCCTCTCTCAGAGCCACGATCAGACACTTTCGGCTGTCCAATAAAACGGCTCGATTAACTGCTTACACCTATGCCACTGTGGGATAAGACAGATAATCTCGACATCCTCGCCGAGTCTCCGACTAGTTATTCCCTCTGCTGGTTGCCACAGCCGTTCTCGGGCTACGCTCGAAGCCTTTTTATCCTTCAGTCACATTATTTGGGATTTGGCCGCGAGACCCGTGACTCGAGAAGTTTCTCTCCCTTCTGGAGAGTTGGCGGCAACCGACTTGATTCTGTTTGCGGCAAACTTGCTGGAAGTTAAATGCAGGAATTGTGTATTTGGACTTTTAGTTGCGCTCAAAGTTTTTCTTGTTCGTATTAATTTCATTACTTGGTAGCATGAATCATAATCACACGTTACAATGGCTTTCCTACAGTTTCATTGGTTTCTACGTGATAATAAAATCGTCTTTTGCCGAATTGATCGCTAATGTAAATATCGTACTTCTGATCGAAATTCGATAAATGTCTCTCTCGTTGATTTTACTGTTAACTCAAAATTAGCGTCTCAAGTGTAATGCTAATTTTTCTTATTTAAATAGATTTTTGACGATACAGCACAAATGTAACAAAATCTTCAGCCAAGTTTTCCTCTAATCGCAAGTTCTTGTCTTTTTTTTTGAAAAAAAAAAAAAAAACATAAAACTGCAACTTTCAAACCTTCGACACACAATGTTCGATATTCTCGCCTGAAACGAAAGCAAAAGGAGAGAAACTTTAATATCCATGCTTACGCGTAATAAACGCGACGATCGGCACAAAGAGCGTGTCGATAACGTCAGGTTACTGAAACTTTGTCGACGTCTGTGCATCTCGCACGGTAAGATAGCGTATGGGCGTCATTTTGTAGGGCAGTATTTCAATCGGCGGATAGCAGACGAAACGTATGGATAGGGTAAAGAATTAACCGGAACATCGTGAAAGTGCCGCGGGGCTTCACTTTGACAGCCGATCACCGCCGAAGGGTGAATGATACGAACAAACTCGCCGGGCATTATATTTCAATCACGTTTGTGCAGCCTTTGATTACTCGCGATTCGAGAGGCGACGCTAACTGAGAGACTAACGAACGATCTCTCTGATATTATTGATCGAGTTGTCTAACAATTTTACACGGTTCTCTGGCTTTTCCCTCGTCCTTTTTCGAATGCGCGTCACCGACGCTTCGTGCAGCCATTTCCTTCGCGATACAAATCATTTTTACAAATTGCAAATCGAATATCTCTTTCACGCCGATGCCGATACTCTTCGGAATATATATCCGTTCGGCGTGTTTCCTTTCACGGAATCGAATCGGAAAGTTTCTGTGTTTTTTTTTTTATTTTTTTTTTATTTTTTTTTAGAGATTCGTTGATTAGAACGATAAATATGCCTTTGTGACGCTTGTGTTGGGGAAAGTACTGTTGGATGATCAACCAGGCCTGATGATATTAGCTCGGTGCTAACACCGAGTCAGTAATTGAACTCCGAAAGTGCCCTACGACACAATTATTCCAGTAGTTGGTTTCGATTACATTTACAATTATAAAAAGACGCGCTAGAAAGTCCTAACATCATCCTCGACCAAAATTGAAACGTGAACAAACACTCTCGTATAAGTTGCTATTCACACGGAATCCAACAGTACGATGAAACGATGATGGAGTTGTGGACTGGAGACAGACAGCAGAGACGACAGAATTCGCGCTGAGAATTTTAGAAGGAACGAGGCGAAAATTGTGCCAATTACAAACGTAAAGGAAAGGAACGCGGAAAAATCGCGCTCGGAGCTCGAGCAACCTGTAAATTAAAATACCCGCTTCTTTCGCGTTCGTTTAATTTCGTATAATGCATCGTTTTCGAGGGCGGTACGGTTAAAGCCGTATATAAAAACGACGGTTTGAACAAAATACATTGCGCCGGGAACATTTATCGGAAAGCTTCTTTAGATCCTCCGGTGAATGAGCTTGCCCGTGCTCGAACTAGCATCTCTCTGGCGTTAGGGAGCGTTCCCTCTCGTGATTTTTGCTAATTTACAGGTGAGAATGCTCGAGGAAGCGGACCAAGCGAATGGAGCATTAAGGAGTAACCGGTCGACTTTTTTCCGGCCCTCCTCTCCCCACCCCCCCTCCTATCTCCGTGGCATTTAGCCGGGATAGCCGCGGAATCGGCGGATAAAAAAAGCGTTTCGCGAAGCTGCAACCAACCAGCCAGCCAGCCGAGCCGAGCCAAGCCAAGCCAAGCCAAGTCAAGCCAAGCCAAGCCGAGCCGAGCCGAGCCAGCTGGTTCCGAATAAGAGGTAAGCCGATAGTCCCTCCTTTTCGCTGAAGGCGGAACAATAGGGTAGATTTTCCGAGATCTGTTTTACGTCTGCTCGCACCGGGGCTATGGCCCGACATGCCAGGCTCGGCTAGCCCCTCGCGAATATATAAAATGAAGTAGAACGTTTCGGCCGACCCCGTGTGTTTGCTTTTTGCTCGTGATAGCACCCACATCCACCTGTATCTCTTCTCGTACACCCACTTTCATCGTTGTACTACCATTCCCTGTACCCGTGGAAATCAGAACGACGGCTTTTCGCTGAACATTTTCGTAGTTAAATATCGCCCCTCCTCCCTCTCCCCCTCTTCTCTCTCTCTCTCTCTCTCTTTCTCTTTTCCTTTAGCGTACCCCTATTCGTAGCTCTTTCTCTTTATCTTTCCTCTTTTTTTTCGTTCTTTTTTCCATTACATCCTTTGCGTCTCCGTTTCTCTGTTCCTTTCGTCTCTCTCTCT